TGTGAGGGATGAGGTGCGGGAGATGTGGGAGACACGGTTGAGGGTATCAGTGGAGGGGGACTGGTCGGGCCTGCGGGACAGGAAGAAGCGGAGGGCCTTGAGGCCGAACTCGTCCTCACACTCAACAACTTCTCTTTCAATTCCTCCCACTTCCTACAGACCAAGGGGGTAGCCATGGGTACCCGCATGGGCCCAAGCTACGCCTGCCTCTTTGTAGGTTACGTGGAACAATCCCTCTTCCGTACCTACACCGGCCCTAAACCCCACCTCTTCCTCCGTTACATTGATGACTGTATCGGCGCCGCCTCGTGCTCCCACGAGGAGCTCGAACAGTTCATACACTTCACTAACATCTTCCACCCCAACCTTAAGTTTACCTGGACCATCTCTAACACCTCTCTCCCCTTCCTGGACCTCTCTGTCTCCATATCGGGCAACCACCTAGAAACCGATATTCATTTCAAGCCCACTGACTCCCACAGCTACCGAGAATACTCCTCCTCCCACCCACCTTCCTGCAAAAATGCTATCCCCTTCGCCTCCGCCGCATCTGCTCCCAGGATGAGGCATTCCACTCCCGTACATCTCAGCTGTCCTCGTTTTTCAAGGACCGTAACTTCCCCTCCTCGGTGGTCGAGAACGCCCTCAACCGTGTCTCCCACATCTCCCGCACCTCATCCCTCACACCCCGTCCACGCAATAAAAACCAAAAAAGAATCCCCCTCGTCCTCACGTACCACCCCACCAACCTCCGGATCCAACGCATCATCCTCCGACACTTCCGCCATCTGCAATCCGACCCCACCACCAAAGACATCTTTCCCTCCCCACCTTTATCTGCTTTCCGGAGGGACAACTCTCTCCGTGACTCCCTTGTCCGCTCCACACTCCCCTCCAGCTCCACCACACCCGGCACTTTTCCCTGCAACCGCAGGAAGTGCTACACCTGCCCCCATACCTCCTCCCTCACCCCCATCCCAGGCCCCAAGAAGACTTTCCACATCAAGCAGATGTTCACCTGCACATCTGCCAATGTGGTATACTGCATCCGCTGTACCCGGTGTGGCTTCCTCTACATCGGGGAAACCAAGCGGAGACTCGGGGACCGCTTTGCAGAACACCTACGCTCGGTTCGCAACAAACAACTGCACCTCCCAGTCGCGAACCATTTCAACTCCCCCTCCCATTCCTCAGACGACATGTCCATCCTGGGCCTCCTGCAGTGCCACAACGATGCCACCCGAAGGTTGCAGGAACAGCAACTCATATTCCGCTTGGGAACCCTGCAGCCCAATGGTATCAATGTGGATTTCACAAGTTTCAAAATCTCCCCTCCCCCCACCGCATCCCAAAACCAGTCCAACTCGTCCCTGCCTCCCTAACCTGTTCTTCCTCCCACCTATCCCCTCCTCCCACCTCAAGCCGCACCTCCATCTCCTACTGACCAACCTCATCCTGCCCCCTTGACCTGTCCGTCCTCCCTGGACTGACCTATCCCCTTCCTAACTCCCTACCTACACTCACCTTTCCTGGCTCCATCCCCGCCTCTTCGACCTGTTTGTTTCCTCTCCACCTATCCTCTCCTCTATCCCTCTTCTATCCGCCTCCCACTCTCTCCCTATTTATTTCAAAACCCCCTTCCCCTCCCCCTTTTCTGATGAAGGGTCTAGGCCCGAAACGTCAGCCTCTCTGCTCCTGTGATGCTGCTTGGCCTGCTGTGTTCATCCAGCCCTGCACCTTGTTGTCTCGGATTCTCCAGCATCTGCAGTTCCTACTATCTCTAATACCATGGGAGCATGGGTTCAAATCTCACAACAACTGATGCTGAAATTTGAATTCAATAAAAGTTTGAAATATAAAATCTAGCCCAGTGGTAACCATGTAATTGGTGTCGCTTGCCATAAAAATCCTGGTTTTTATTACCTAGTCTGGCCGAAAATGACTCCAGATCACAACCAAATAGTTCGCTCTTAATTGCCCTCTGGACAGTTAGGAATGGGTAATAAATGTTGAATAGGCAGCGAAGCCTACATCCCATGAGCCAATAGTTTTTAAAAATATACTCCGCATAATGTGCTCCAGCTCCAACCTCAGAAGAGCACTTCCTCCTGTATTGTCATAACACTTCTAATTCCAAATTGCCAGGTTGTGCCATTATTAAGGACAGCTTTGCTCTGTAGTCTACTAGGAACTGGTTGGAGACTGTCCAAGCAGTACCCTTACAGCCAGGTTGATTTGTGACTCCTGGTGACAGTCTGCACCATCCCTTATACTGTAACATGGTTTCTTTTAGGTTCGAAAAATATTGGATCTGGTTGAGAGCAAAGGAGAAGAAACAGCAGAGTATTTCCTACACATCCTGTACCAGGCCAGGGAGATTTACACTGACCTTAGCCCATGGCTGAAAGAAATAGAGTATCAACCATCAGAATACGTACTGGGCAAATCAGTCATTATCACAGATGCTGGTAAATATTTCCTCCTCATATCTAATGAATAATTATAAATCTCTCTTCCTTTCAGCTTTTGTCATTGTAAAACCTGATATAAATCTGTCACATAATAATTACACCTTCCTCTGAGTGGTGATATGATAGTGGCACTACTGGCGGGGATGTATAATTACAGGTTGGCATGTATTTGTGAATTGTTCATTATAAGCAGTGTATGGGAATTTATAGTACACAAACAGAAGTAATGACATGTGACTTTAAAATGAAGACTTAACTAATATGGTCGCTGCTTTTTGATTCCCTACTCACCTGAAGACTACACTTGACATGATTCTTCCTTTGCAACACAATGGGAAATCAGCTAGATTATTATTAATTATACATTTTGAATGTTCATTCATGTTCTTATCTTCTGGATTGTACATATCTTTGATTTTACCCCATGGTTTTTCTCCTGTCAGCATCTACATGAAAGGTAGAAGCAAAATTTATAATTGTATCTTATTAATGATTAGGTATAGTGCTCCCACAATATCCTCTCTGAGACCTTGTCATTTGCTTGTGGACTCCACCATTATTGAAATTTATCTTAGAAAGGCCAAGGGAGAGTGATGAACATAGCAGAGTATATTTTTTATGAACAACATTCTTTTCAAAACAGGATGCCTAAAGTTCTTTTTGGGAGATTTCTAATTGAATTACAAACAAGTTGTTGCTCAGAAGGAGCCTCAAATGATTTATGCCACAATTAACAAGCTTCCCTTTATATGTTTTCATTGAACCCTTTCACCATGTATTTTTACTTTTTGTCCCTCCTATATATCTCGCTTCCCCTTAAATACATCTGTGTTACTCCCCCGGCTTACTCTCTTGACAGCAAGTTTAATATTCTTACCACGCTTTGGGTTAAGATTTTTTAGAAGCAGTTTTGTGTTTATAGTCCTTTTTGTTCTGGCCTTCCACCAAGTAACAAGATTTTCTCTACATCTGCCCTGCCAATCCAGTTCATGCCGTTCTTCAATCTTCTCTGTTCAAGAGTAAAGAGCTCCAATCTATTCAACATTTTTTGATCTTGTTAATCTCTCAATAGTGTTATTGACTTCAACAGTTGACCAAAGTAGCATACAGCGATTAGGCCTGTTGTTATGATTACAATTGTAGAGTAAAAGCAAGTTGCAGTAACTTTTGCATTTCTCTTTCTAGTCTGTCAGTACATTCAGAAGATTAAACATGATCTACGGCAGGACACAAAGTTCGTCACATCGTACGTCCAGAAAGAAGACATCTTACTGGATGATACTTACACTGAGACTCTTATGGAACTAATCAATGGAGTCAATGAAACCAAAGGAACTATTTCCAACTTGGAGGATTTGTTCAGTGACACAGGCATCATCAATGAGGATGCAGAGACAGTGTTTGTAACTGGTGATGCTGGGGTTGGTAAGACCATCCTGCTCCAGAGACTTCAGAACCTGTGGTCCAAAGGAGAGCTCTGTGCTGATATTAAATTCTTCTTCAAATTTAGATGCCGAATATTCAATAGCTTTAGAGAGGAAGATAAATTTTCTCTCAGAGATTTACTGTTCAAATACAACTGTTACCCTGACAAAGACGCTGATGAGATATTTAGTTACATCCGACAACACCCAGAGTCCGTTCTCTTCACACTGGACGGGTTTGATGAGATTAGTGTTGATTGTGACCTGAGTGATATCCCTGATGTCTCTTCACCCTTTGACCCCACACATCCGGTCACTCTGTTGATGAATCTTCTCCGAGGAAAGTTATTAAAAGGTTCCAAAAAATTATTGACAGCAAGAACTGGAACAAACCTGCCATTGAGAATGGTGAGAAAGAGAGTGACACTAAAGGGCTTTACAAAGGATAATTTACTGCAATATTTGAAGAAGTTCTTCAAAAACCAACCCCATCAAACTTTGGTTTTGACCCAGCTGGAGGCAAATCCCCATCTGTGTAGTTTATGTTCAGTGCCATTGTTCTGCTGGATTATATTTAAATGCTACAAGCACTTACAGTCAGAATGTAACTCCCAGCAAATATTGGATTATGTAACATTGACTGACATCTACCTGTTGATGTTGGAGGTTTTCCTAAACCGTTCTTCCAAAACGGGGTTGAACAAAAGAAACAAAAGTCAAAGTGAGACATTCAAAGCAAAGCAGGATTCTCTAATGAGTTTGGGAAAATTGGCAAAAGAGGGAATTGAAAGCAATAACTTTATCTTTAGTCAGGAGCAAATTGCAGCAGCTGGCATCTCAGAGGAGGATTTACAGTTGGGTTTTGTCAAGAGTGCAGGCCACTATGATGGATGTGGGAACCAATCCACTTATGAATTCCTTCATCTGACCCTCCAGTCATTTTTCACTGCACTTTTCCTAGTTGTTAATGAGAGAATTAGTGCGAAGGAAATCATTACGTTTTTTGCAAAATGTGATCACTACTTGACTGGAGCTCGAGCCAGTGTTGTTTTCTTGAGATGTTTGGGCTATAAGTCATGTCACAGAAAGGTCCCATTTGAAACAAATGAACATCTGCAGTTCACCACACTTTTCCTCTGTGGCCTGTTGTGTAAAACTAAGAGGGACTTATTCAAACATTTATCTTCCACAGGAAGTGTCCAAAGAAAGCGGTCAGCACTCAAGGCCTACCTTGCTGACTGTGTAAAGTCACACTTAAAAAATCTTCCTCAAGCGCCATTTGAAGAATTTTGTAGGGTGCAAGTCTTGCCCCGATTTGTCTGGTTGATGCGCTACATTTTTGAAACCCAGAGTGAAGCTGTAGCCAGTCTTGCAGCAAAGGGGATTTGCGCGGATTATATCAAGCTCACTTTCTGCAATGCCTTCTCTGCCGACTGCAGTGCAATTGCAAACATATTACGTCATCGTAAAAAATCAATTGCACTTGAACTGGACAACAATAATATCAATGATTATGGAGTGAAGGAATTAATTCCTTGTTTCAATAAACTCACGGTAGTTAGGTATGTTTTCAAATATTTTCCTCCCGTTTGTCATGAAAATATCTAACTCCCTGTCTCAATGTATTTGTGTCATATACATAGAAAGGCAAGGAAGAAAGGCATTTGATTTATACCTTTCAGAGTGTCCTCAATGGTTTCATAGCCAATGAAGTAGTTTTGAAATATAGCCATTGTTGTAATGTAGGAAAATGTGGCAGTTGATTTGCACAGGTAAAATGCCCACAAGCAATAATGTGCTAATTACTAGAAAGTCTTTTAAAATAATGGTTGTAGGAGCCATGACACTGAAAAGAGTTAGCCTGGTTTTCATTAAAGCAGTGCAATTGTATCTTTTGTGTTCATCTGACAGACAAAACCTTGGACAGCTCAGTATTCTATGAAAGAGCTTGCATTTATAATGTAATTTTTGCATTCACCAAAATGTTCCAGAGTACATTACAGATCGTTAATTACTTTAGAACAGTAGTCACTGTTGTCCTGCAATTAAATGTGGTATGCAATTCCACCTAGTGAGGCACCATAGTGAGATCATTTACCAAGCTAATTAGTTTGCTAGAGAGAAGAATGGTGACCAGTTCAGTTGGCACATGAGGCTTCAGTTTAACACTTCATCCACAAGATCATCCCATAATACTGTAACACTGCCAGAGTATTGTACTTAAATGTCAGACTGGATTATTCATAGAAGTCGATGGACCATGCACTGACTGCACAACTTCTGACCTAGAGGCAAGACTGCCAACTTGGTGCCAGTTTGATACATCAAGTCCAGAAGACTCCCTTTGAATACTTCCCTTACACCCTCCATTCACTCCTACACCTCCACGTACTGTTGCTGTGCTGATTTTGTTTTCTGTTAACACTTGTTGTATACCCTGTCTCTAGTACCGCTAGCAATTGCTTTGCCTTTCACTCTGGGGTACATTTCACATTTGTTCTGTTTGCTTTTCCTCTCCCTTTATTTTACACCATAATAAAATACCATTTTTACAGCCTCTTCAATTTTTAAGAAGAGTCACATTGAATTTGAAATGTTAACTTGGTACCGCAGACTTTTGACTATCTGCTGCACTTTTCCTTTTATTTATGCATGACCAAGGGTCTCTTAAGAACTGAAAATCATTTCTGAACAAACTGATTATATCATAAGATTCTGCTTTACTATGCCTTTGAAACAGCTATCCATTTACACCCGCTCTCCTGCTCTTTTCCAAAATAGTCCTGCTCACAATTCCTTTCCCAGTATATATCCAATCCCGTTTTTGAAAGTTACTGTTCGATTTATTTCCACCAATCTTTGGGCAGCACGTTGCACATCATAGCAATTTAATGAATTTAAAATAAAATTCTTAATTTCTTTTCAGGACTCAGTGCCTTTATCTTCAATCCATGTCCTTTGGCTTTTCACCCTTCTGCCAATAGCAAAATCAACTTATCCATCTTTGCAAAATTCCACATGATTTTGAATATCACTATTGAATGCTCCCAGCCCACCCATCTTTCTTCAGTGCAATTCTGCAATCTTGCTTTTCTGCTCTTCCTGAGGAAACCATTAATTAAACAGGGAGGTAAATTTGAGCTGCATCAATAAAAGTAGAAGGTGCTTGCTGTATGAGCAGGCCAGCTACATTTTCTGCAAACTGAAACCAAAAGCCAAGAAGTCTTAAGCAAAAATTCAGTTGCTGGTTCTTCTAAACCAAAAGAAGCCAATGCCTTTCCATGTTTGCTCTCTCCAATTATAAAACTCATAAACAAAAACTTGCCATTTTCATTTCAGGAGAGCACTCAGTCACCTGATCTCTGACACATAGATTTAAAATCATGGTGTCTGAAAGACTGACACATTAACCATCAAAGCCCTTCATACACACAGATCAAAGCCCACATGTCACTAGTTCAAAATCTAAACTCTAAAATAATACATAAATCAGGTATCTTACCTCAAAATTATTTATTACATTGTTAGAGATACATTGAAGAGGACCAGGTGAGAGATCTCACTCTTTGAGATCCTAAGCTGTTCTCCCCCATTTTTATGACAACATCATAGTGAGTGGTGCTTATAGGATCCTCAGTGTTAACCCTTTTGGAACATATACACAGAACTAAGTTTGAAATCTAGGATAATCTTTGACTTGAACTTAAAGGTTAAGATGAGAAAAGGTTGCCTAATCTCAAAAAAAGAGTGGCTCAGTGATATTTTCTTTGCTGCCATTGTCAATGTATCCTCTTTTCCTGGATTGTGTCAACTTTCTATTTTGTAATTCACACACTATCCCCTTCACCTGGTCCCTTTGGTCAGTAATCCACATTGGCTCCTCACACTGCAGTCCCCAATTTTAACATTCTCATCTTCCTGTTTAAAATCCTCCATTGCCTTGCCCCTATCCGTCTCTGTAACTGTTCTGAGCCTTCCAACCTGCAGAGACCTCTGATTCTTAATGAATGGATTCTTGTGTTTCTCTGTCAGCTGGCAGCAATACCTTTAGCTTTATAACTGTGAGCTCTGAAATTTTCTCCTGCAGCTTCTCCAACTCTTTCTCATCCCTTAACACACTTGACAAAGCCTACCTCTTTGAAACTTTGACCATTTGTTCTAACTTTCTCTTTCGGTGTCACATTTACTCTGACAACAGCAACACGATTAGGAGAAATTATGAAAATAAGGCCCCCGTGTTTTCTTTCACTTTTTTGTCACTCTACACCGTTATTGTGCATATTCAGAAAGTGTTTTTGTAGGTATTATTTGGTTAATATTAACAAGTCATTAAGAATATAAAGATGAAGAACTGAGAATTGGATTGGTATTTGCAAACAATCTTGATTCAATGCAGAGTTTTGTATTTCATTGATTTGACAATTTTTTAGATATTATGGGTATGGAGAGAAACCAGGAATATTCCATTACGATAGAGAATCAGCCATGGTCCTATTGAATGGCGGAGCAGGCTCAATAGGTGAATGGCCTACTCCTTCTCCTCCTTTTAAGTAAAATGAAATGTCCACAATCTTGCATGTTAAAGGAGGGAGGTGCCCCCAAACCTAACAATTTTTCACCCACCTCCAATTCTTTTCTAAAAACTGAAAGAAATGCAGATGCTGTAAATCAAAAACAAAAACAGAAATTGCTGGAAAAGCTGAGCAGGTCTGGCAGCATCTGTGGAGAGAAATCGGTGTTAATGTTTCGGGTCAAGTGACCATCCAGTTCTAATCTATTGCCTCGGAGTATCCATTTTACACAGAACTCCCTTATGTAACATCATAGCTGCAAACAACAAAGGGTAAATCTTTGACGATCAATAAAAATGAAAGAAACATTCTAATCGTTCTCGAAGTATGGAATAAAATAGCTGTTCAGAGATCCTTCATGCACAAATTACTAATGGATTGCACTCATTATGCTGTTCCTTAAAGAAAGGAATAACTATGTTAATTATCCAGCGCACTCTCAGGCCCTGACAAAAAAACGGCTGCAATTTAGGAAATTCAGTTAGTTGTGGCATCAGAGCTTCGCTATAGCCTGAGTTTAAGAAACGAGAGGTGCGAATTAGTGCTGCTACTGCACCACCACTGACAGGAGAGTGTCTTTACAGTGCATTATGTATACCTCGGCAAATTCCATAGTAAATATGGACTAGGAATTGACTTATAACAGAAAAGGTTGGCACAGAAATATGTTTACGTTGCAATACTGGTCATGAGAGCTTGCTGTATGCAAATTGGCTACTGTACATCCTACATACCAGTCAGACGACCCATCAAAAACACATCAGTGGCTGTACAGTGTGTTGGGATATCCTTATATAGTCAAAGGTACTAGACAAACGCTTTTTTATTGACGTTCTTATCCAACACCCTGTTCGACCATTATCTTATTGTTGTATTGAATATTTGTCCACACAAATACGTATCATTGCAGTAAAGTTTTCAAAAGTAGTCCTTGGTTGTATGTTCACATGGAATCCTTGAATATATGTAGAGGAAGTATTTCAGTTATTGTATCCCTGCCAATTCTCTGCGAGAGAAAATTTGCTCTTCCAACTTCAACATCCTTTCCCCATAGCCCTAGAAATGATATCTCTTCACATGCTTATATGATTCCACTTTGAAAATCAAGATTGAATCTGCCTTTACCACACTGTCAGGCAATGCATTCCAATTCCTGACAACTCGTTGAGTTTAAAACAAAAGCTTTTCCTTATCACTATAGGTTATTTAGTTATTGACCTGATAGTTGAGTCCTGTGGTCCTGAACCCTTCTGCTGATAGGAGTAGTTTCTCTCAACTCTGCCTGGACACCTCATGACTTGAATCACCTCTTTCAAAACTCCTCTGAACCTGCCTTTCTTTGAGGCAAACCTCCTAAGCTTTTCCAGCCTATCCATATAATTGGAGTCCCTCCATCCCTCGTAATTCTTTTTTGCGTCCCTCTAATGCCTTCATATCCTTCCTAAAGTATGGTGCCCAAAATACTGGATGCAAATCTCTAGTTATGGTTTTGTATTTATGTTCTGTCATGGCTTCTTTGTTTTTGTGCTCTGTGCGTCTAGTTATAAAAGTCAGAATCATATATACTTTAATCACTTTCTTAATGTAACAACAGAGCAGATGGAAAAAGTGGTAATGCCCTGCATGCAGACTTTAGGGTGGAAAGAAGAAACCTAGCAAGCTGGGACTCAAAGGCTATAACCTCCAGATTACTGTCAGTATGTAAAATAGGAGGAAACAGCAGATAAATTTGTGGCTGGACGCTTTTAAATTCCAGTGACATTGAGACCGGTTCTGGGAAGGAGAGTTCAAGCTGGTTGGATTGACCTTGAATGATTTACGTACATAAACACCCATTCTGTATGTTCCTACATCCTCCTGTAGAATTGAATCCTGTTTTTGTCACCTTTCCTTA